TAAAATGTCCTTGTTGAAAATATGAATAAAAACATCACCTGTAGTCCAAACTATTTTGCCTTCCTACCTAGCTTCTTGTAATCCTTCAATGTTTCCGTGCTCCTTCCAGACTCCTCCCTTTCAACATAAAATAAAGGAATAGTGATCACATATATTATCCTTAGCATATGGGAGGCAACACACTTCTCACATTGTGTCTGATATGAAGACAGCTGATTCTTTTCCTTTCAGCAACAAGCCATTCATCACATGCCTTTTCCCTTAGCAGCACCATTAGATGCCTTACTCTTGTAGCAGCCCAGGTTTATTCCCTTCACATCCCTATAACGCTAGGTGAACACCAGAAGTCTGGAAATCATTTTCTCAGAGTAGGATCTGAAATTGATTGTTGTTCTAGGGACATGCACTGTGTCTTGGTCCTCTAAGTTACATGCTGCCAGACCTGCTCCCTTTCTACAGAATACTTTCTGTATTCATTTGCAGACATCCCTCTACATTATCCAGAAATTTCCTGTCTCCTCTAATGAATCTGAATTCCCTAGCTAACTTAGTCATTCTAAAAAAGCTGAAGTTCACACTTGTGTAGATTTCCTAGTTTGGGAAAATTATTCTAAAGATATACTAAGAAAAATATGTATAAATACTGTCTTAGTAATATTCATTGTGAATGAACTGTGGTTTTGCCTTTAGCTGCTAAAACTAAAAATGACTTAAAGAGCTTAAATGAAAGATGTGAAAATACGCATTTCATAAACCAGTTGAAAATATATCAAAATCAGTCCACGTATTTGCCAAAGACTGATAAGGAGTATTTCAGATAATTAGTTCTCACTTTTTAACTAAATAAGGTTATAGTGTGGAGTACTTTTCCATTATAAACATGAGGGAGGCCTTTTGCCTCATACTATCTTCATCCGTGCCATCAATTCCATGGGGTAAAAAGGCAGGCATAATTCTCCCGCATTTTCAAAGGCCCAAGGCAGGTAGCATCAGAGTAGGAACTGGTTCAACTGGAAAAATGGTATCCCTTCCGGCTTTGATATTTTAATCCAATTTTAAACCTGCCGGTCATTGCTTTTGTGTCAGTAACCATTTATTAATTGTTCTGGCCCTATGGAAAATGATTGAAATAATAGATATTAATATAAGGAATATGTATATGTGTGTGTGTGTATATATTCACTTTCTAAAAATAGAAAAGGCAGCATAAATCAGCATGTCTACTTTTCCAATCCAGCTTTTATACTTTTTTTTTTAAACTTATCTCTCTCTTTCCCTTCCTCCCTCTCTCTTTCTCAAATATCTCTTAACTCTCAAGGAAAGATATTTATAATATGTTTGGAACATAAACAAGTATTTGATGTATTGGGAAAAACAATCATATTGAAAAAGGTATTAGAAAATGGGATATTTTTCATGATAGTTCAAAATCTGTATTATACTGATACAATATTTATAACCATTTTATTCTGCTTACTGCTCATGTTCATTTATGAATTTTAAGATTATATATCTGAAATACTGATGCATTGCTTAAACCCACCACATATATATAGGCACAGCATGTTGTCTATCTGTTTTCATTGAAATGTTCCAAGATCACTGAGCTGATCTGTACTAACACAGCATATTTCAAAAACTCATGGAGTACTGACATAGTTGAGGGGGTTCAATTTCACATAGGCTGGTCACAGATTTTGACATTCATATTCTAAGATTTCCTTGAAGTACTAAGGTGCTCTAGGATAAGGCTTGCAAATATTTTTATTACATCAGAGAAGATAAGCCAATTGTAACCATAAAGTTAATGGCAAATAGTTTATCATATTATTGTTTAGAATAAAACACTCATTAAGAAAACAGAAAATCAACAATCAAGTGCCTGTTGCAACAATTGTGTAAGTGAAAATCAGTGACATGTCCATCCAGTGATAAGTCTTTAACTTACCTTCATTCCCCAGGATAAAAATTGTGGTATCATTACATGCATTAACCATTTTGGAAAAGGTTTTAAGCACAAGACTATCAATAAACTTTCATTCAGTGGACAAAAGATAAATTGTCCATTAATTGACAAATAGAATTAAATATTGGTACTGATTAGAGCTGTAACTAAAATTATCTTTCTTACCATTGTCTTTCTTTAACTTATTCTGTGCTAAACAAAATTTTTAGTACATAGAAAACATCAAGGTTCTTGTGCTCAACATGGTAAAACCATACTTCTAATAAAGCAGGGTAGCCAATGATTATATATATTAGTGTCCAATAAAAGTTTTTTTCAGTGAAATAACTGATCTGCTATGAGTGCTAATGTTTTTCGTATACCTAAAATTCTTTTATTCCATATATTTACTACAGTATTCAGGAAACTGCTTGTGGGTACTACAGTACTACTCTCTAATAGATACATTGCTTAAATAAGTCCTGACAATTTTTTTAAAAGAAACAGCTTTGGGATGAGGCATTTTAGAGCAAAGGCCTTTTGTGGGAATATAAAATTCATATTTCCTGCACAAAATGTTTCTTTAGTCCAAATTTTCCTTCCCTCAATATTCAGAGAGTTCTAGATAAGGTAGGAGGTTTTGGATTTTGACATTTGCAAAACAATACCTATATGATATTGAGAAAATATGTATCATACAGAATGCAATAAAATTAAATGTATCTCTAGATAGGACATGAATAAAACAGATTTTGATTGGAGCATTACTATCTTGTATTTGGGAAAGAAAGATTGACATTTGAAATTTTACTAATATTATCTGTAATAAAAATCTATTTTCCCCTGAAACATTTTTACAAGCTGTTTTATTATTTATCAATACCTAATTGACCCAGATCGGTAGTGGAAGCATGATAGAATAGCTGTAGTTGGAAAATATTATAGAGGAAATGTATTAATATTTAATTTTATTGATGATATAGTACACTGCCCAGGCACCCTCTTCAAGGAAGATAGGCATTTAAGAAATATGAAGTAAAAATAAATAAAATTATACCGCTTTTCTATTGAGAAACACTATGCTACATGAGTTTTCTGTCTAGCTCTGCTTCATTTAGATATGTGTGGATCGTTAATGGAGATATCTGTGTTTCTGTATTGATGAAGAGCAGGATAAAGCAACAGATGATACTCATATAACATCAAAAATGCCACATGATAAATACAAATGTATGGAATCCAAATGCCAGATGTAGGTTATTGTCGCTATTTTCTTACCAGTGGAAATGCCACTATTTTTTTTCTACAGTGGAATACTTTTTTTAAAAAAAGTGTATTACTGACACAATGTACTTTATTTGTTCTAAATGTATTAAATCCTTTTAAGACTAGATTTGCTATCAGATTACTGAAAACTATTCTGCTGATAGTTATATTTCAATACTTGTGTCTCCAAATAGAAAATCTTTTTGTATGCCATCTATTGAGCCAATATAAAGTATTTCAATGGTTTAGCAATTTTTATGTAATTTTAAATTTGCCACAGCATACTAGGTCATATATGCCTATGGCCCAATTTTTCTGCACTTGAGAGAATGAGTACTTAAGTAACCAATCATATATGTACAGAATGGCTTAAGTGGATGGCAGCTGTTCTAATGAAAATGGACTGTGCTTCTGTTCTATATAATTTATGATTATCGGAAATACCTGGCAGCAGCTAAATGCACCCCATTCTTAAAGCTGGCATGGTTATTTGAGGAACAGGTTTCAGTGAAGAAAGCTTTTTTGAACTGCAGGGGATACTGGAATTCTAGTTCTTATAAAATATGTGTGAATATATGTGTGAGGGCATAAATTATTTATGTGTGGGTGGATGGGTGAATAGGTACATATTTAGGAATTTTGTACACATACAAACAAATCAATCAAAAAAAATTTCTACAAAATATACTAAAATATTTAGTAAATTATTGTTTATATAATATTTGGACAAATAATAATTAGTACTATGCATATTCTGTTAGTTTAATGTGCAAGCATTTTTGATATGTAGACTAGACATACAGAGTTGAGATTTTATAATACAAAGTGTTGATTAGCTTGGGCTATGATATTGTAAAATATTATCACAAACATGGAGATAGGCACTAACTTGGATGGCTTTAACAGATAAATTCAGATAAACTTAAATTTAAAGGATAAATTCAGAGGATAGAGGCAATTAGTTTTGAAAACTCAATGTTAGTTCTGGAGCATAGGCAGTGTGCTTCCAAATACCAGTTGCAGGGGGACAGCAGCAGGGGACAGAGTGTTTGTTAAAATTGCATCTGTATTTAGTAGAAAGTAAGTACTTGTGAGGCAAAATGCCAATTGTTTAATCTGCTTGAGAAAGAATATAGTAGAAAAAGAAAATTAGTAGAATGCAAATATAAATGCATTTGCCATACCAAGGAGTTCTAGCTTCTCATAGTGGAGCCAACTCAACACAAAATACAATTCATTCAGCAGCTGCTTTTGAAATGTCGAAATAATATATTGTCCAGTTTTGCATTTTATTTCGTTTCACTTAGCAAGTTATTCTAGCTCCCAGTCACGAATGCATAGTGTACATCTTGGCATAAAAAGTATGCATTTAATGAAATGTATATACCGGTGGGTATGTGGACACTGGATTCTAAGAATTCCAGTTCCAACGTATTTGGAACCAAGCTGAGGAAGATTGGCATATGTTATAAAATCTACAATTTTTTAAAAAAAGAGGGGCTCTATGATTCTTTCAATAATCTTTGTATAAGCATAATCGGTAGAGACATTTAGATTTTTAAAACCCGAAAACTTCCATTATTTTAAAACTTCGCCGAATAACAGCGCCAGGAAACACCCCGCCTTTCCTGGTCCACGATCGCTTAGCACAGCAACGGCAAGGAGAGCTGCCATGCCGCTCGCCCTTCTAGGCTGGGGTTGTGTTAACGGAGAGCCGGGGGTGGGGGGAGGTAAGTGTTGCTGCGGAACCGCACGAGCTTCTTCGAAGCGTGCAGCCGTTTGTTGTCAAGGAGACAGGAATAACGAAATCCAGACTACAGCACGCAACGCGGGCAGCCGAAAGGAGGGAACGGAAAGGCCGAGCCTACAAGTACAAGCGCCGAAAGCGAATCGTGCCCGGTGAGTGTCATCGCGGCGAGAGCAGGAAGCTTGGCCACGGGAGACCGGATACCCTCAGACAGCGGCAGACCAAGAATTAGAGCCCGGCTCCTGCCTAGTAGCGACAGACGGGAAAGTCCCTGGGGCCGCTAGAATTGGAGAGCGGCGCTCACGTGATTGTTGTGGCGGGAAATGAGCCCGCACGTGTTCCTAAACAGGAGCCCGGCGGGGTGGGACTTAGGGGAGGGGCACTGTGCTCCTAGAACTCCGCCCTACTTCCTGTTTAGCTTCCTCTATTTCTTTCCGGGAGGCGGAGTCGAGTTCCTTTTAGTGGTTCCATAACGCGATTAGTCGAACCATACCTTGTGTCCTTATCTTGTCATCAGGGGCGTCATTAGAATGTGGTCAAAAAAATAAAAATGGCGGTCGCGACTGGGCGTTACGCCAAGCATCGCGGCTGTAGTACGGGAATGAAGGGATTAGATTTTGTGAGGAAAACCAGCAATTGCAAAAGTTGACTGCAAAAGTTCTCTGTACCTTTATTTTACAAAATTGGAGGTTTTCGTACTTCATAACAGTTCACTATAAATTTGCATTAATCCCATTAAAGTGATTTCTAACTAGTGAGAATTATTGTTATATGTGTATGATGCTATATATTTAAAGGCTAAAAATCACCCTTTAAAATCAAATTGAATTGGATTTGAAACACTGTCAGATACTTTGTATTATATTACAAATCTGTCCAGTTAATTTTTACAACACCCATTACAGGTTTACATTTTTCTTTGAATAATTGATTATATTGTCTTTCAAACAAATCTTGACATGCATGAAAATATGCCCATAGTAATTTTGTCATTGGTAGATTTTTTTAAAAATTTAACATTTTTGTAAACTTTTTTAAAAAAATACTGATGCAGAAAGGGCATTTTAATTTGTAACCCTTTTAAAGATATTCTAGTTTCCATAGTAACTGCACATTGAAACTTGTTTAATTGTTCCCTATGTTTGAAAAAAGACCCACATTGCTACATTTTTAATTATTGGCAGAAAATATAAAAGTAATTAGACATACTGAAGTAAAGACAATATACTTAAGCAAAATTATTTTATATACTTTATGTTTTGCTTAAAAATAGAGGATAAAATAGTTAAAATATAATGACAAACTGACAATTTAAACCAAACATTTAATTAAACAATTAATTAAAAGCAAAACATTTGGTAAAAATATTCTAACATAAGATGAAAATGCATTTTAAAAATGCTCTTTTATCGTGTTTTGTTAGGCATGTTTTATTTTTATTTATTGTGTTTTGTCAAATATAAATACAATCCCATTTTCTGATAAAATGCTGAAATATTTTACCTGCTACATTTAAATAAACATAAAAGAGGGGCTTATTTTTTGATTGGTTTGTTGCATGACCAAAAAAGCACCAAAATCCAAAACAAAACAAAACATGTGAACTGTGCAAATCAGTATATATGTCCATAGAAAGGAATAGCATGCTTATATATGTAGTTAGGCCAACCAACATGGATATTTAATCAGTAAACTAATGGATTAATAGATTTCTGTTTGCTTTACAAGTTTTGGTAGACATTCAGATTTATTAAAGTGTCAATCAGCTCTTATGTAAACAAAAAGAGGAGTCAGAATAAAGCTTAATTTAGTAATTTAAGTCAGATTGCCTTTATTAAATTTCTTACTGATGCAGTTACTCTGTGTGGCTTACAATATGATAAAAAGTTAAAAAGTACAAAACAACTGAAGTTAGAAGAATTAAATAGAAAAGCTAAAAACCAAGATGATGTGTAGTCTGGGGTGGAGATCTTCTCTACCCAGCCACCCCCAACATAGTAGGCTCCTATCAGGACCTTAGGCCAAGCAACCTAGAGTAAGATAGTTGCAGTAAAAAAAACACAACAATAACTGAAGGTATATATAAAACCAGCATTACACTGTTGTTAGGACCATATAGCTGAAAATAATTTGAAAGGGCTATTTCATGTATCTCTCATCCTTCATTGCCAGAATGTACTTTCGAAAAGCCTTAAAATGAATATACTGCTTACTAATCATTTTTAATATTCTTTCAACCCAGGAGGAATTCAGACCAATCACTTGGTTGAATTTTGAATTATTTCCCCAACTGATTATAGTGGGGAAAAGTAGAAGACAAAATGGAAATGAAGGAATATAAGCATGTCTCCATCAGTACTAAGTGCAGCTAGCAGATTATTATAATATGATGGAATACAGTACTCTTAACTACAGCATGATTACTTTGTTAATTTCATCTTAGTGTTTTTATAGCTTTGCTTCTGGTTAATTCTAGATGTTCTAAAGGTATTTTTCTAAATCAACCATTTTGGATCTTATCTAGAGTCATGTGAAAAAGTCCATTCCCTCTGAGTTCAATGGTTTTATGTATCAGGACATAGTAAAAATAATCTGTTATTTGCAGTTCTTAAAATTAGGTAAATACAACATCAGATGAACAGCAGTGCATGACATATTACACCATTTATTTTACAAAAAGAAAGCCAAAATGGAGAAGCAATGTATAAAAACTTAAGGATACCCTTACTGCTTCCATAGGTATGAAGAAGCTAAGTAACAGCCAAGTGCTGCTAATCAAGCGCCTTTGATCATCAGTTACAGCCAAACTTTTAGGAGTTTGCTGGTCTCCAACATTGGGGAGTGTGTTTACACAGTGCCAAAGACGAAAGATACCAACAGTGATCTAAGAGAAGCAATTGTTGCTGCCCATCAATCTAGGAAGGATTATAAAACCGTTTCTAAACAATTTAAAGTCCATCCTACAGTGAGGAAGATTATTGACAAGTAGAAAATATTCAAGACAATTTCAGTCTTCCCAGGAATGGATGTCCCATCAAATCTACCCCAAGGGCAGGCCATGCGATGCTCAGAGAAATTGCAAAAAAGCCAAGAATTGCATCTCAGGCTCTTCAGGCCTCAGCACATTAAATATTTAATTTTATGACAGTTCAATTAGAAAAAGACAGAACAATGGTTTGTTTGGAAGGTTTACCAGGATAAAGCCTCTTCTCTCTAAAAAGTGCACAGCAGCATAGCTTAGGTTTGCGAAGTTGCATCTGAATAAATCACAAGACTTCTAGAACATTGTCATTTGGACAGATGAGACCCAAGTGAAGATGTTTGGCCATTTTACAAAGTGCATGTTTGGCAAAGCCAAACAAGCATATCAGCACAAACATACCAACCATGAAGCATAGTGGTGGCAGGGTGATGCCTTGGGCTTGCTTTGCAACTATGGGAGCTGGGCACCTTGCAGGATTTGAGTCAACCTTTGTATAACAGTATTCTAGAGTACTCATTTGTATAACAATGTATTCTAGAGTCAAATGTGAGACCATCCGTTCGACAGCTAAAGCTTGGCCAACATTAGGTCATGCAATAGGACAATGACCCCAAGCACATTAGCAAGTCTACAACAGAATGGCTGAAAAAGAAAAGAGTAAACATGTCATGCCCCTGTCAGAGCTTGATTCTGCGGAGGAAGACAAGCTGGAACTGGGGCCAACAGAGATTGAGGGAGTGGTGTCATTGGCTTCGGAGGAAGGTGGGAAGAGCAGGGCCAATCAGACCAGGCCTTTCTAGATTGGGACGGTTTGTAGGCAGGGAGGAAGGGGGGCAGGATGACTAAAGCTAAGCAGTGAACATGAGAGACAGAGCTCAGTGATGAGCAAGGACCACCCCTTCCAGATCCTTGAGCATGGAGAGTGGATAGAAGGCGAGAACAGTGCAGACTGAGCTGACTTACTCAGGAGGAGAGCGCCTTGCCCCTCTTCACAAGGCACACCTGGGGACTGAGACTTGAGATGCTGTGGGGAGGGGCATTTGTCAGGAACAAATGCTGAATTCATGGAATGTTGAGTGTCATTGCTGACATTTGAACTTTTCTGAATTCCTTGCATTCTTTCTGGCTTTCTGGACTATTTACCATGATCCTTTGCTTCATGAACTCCTTGACTTGCCCTGCTGGAATTCTTGCTTTGCAGCTGTGCTGGACTACTTGCAGCCAAAGGCTACTGGAGGTGTGTGTGTGTGTGAGAGAGAGAGATCACTTTGTTCTGGGACTTGCCAGATATATGGGAGCATTTGGGGGAATTTGGAACAATAAAGGGGCAGTTTGAACTTCCAGCTGCCTGTGTGACCTCTGTGCCATGCCCTGGGTCATCGCATGTTATTGCAATGGCCCCAAAGTTCAGATCTCAACCTGATTGAAATGTTGTGGCGGGATCTCAAGATAATTGCATAAACAATTGCCCACAAACCTCAGTGAAATGAATCAATGTAAAGAAAAGTGGGCCAAAATTCCTCTAGAATGATGTGAGAGATTGATAAAGTCATACAGAAAACAATTACTTCAAGTGATTGCTGCTAAAGGTGGTTCTACAAGCTATTGAATCCTAAGAGGCCATTTGCTTATGATCAATTGATCAAGGACACTTGATTAGCAGCATTTGGCTCCTGCTTAGTGTTTTCATATCTATGGAAATAGTAAGGGTGTACTTAATTTTTCATGCATGGCTTTTCCATTCTGGCTTTCTTTTTGTAATATAAATGATGACATAATATAATATGACATATGTTATTGTTCATCTGAGGTTGTATTTACCTAATTTTAAGAACTGCTAAATCCAGATTATTTTTACTATGTTCTGATATATAAAACCATAGAGCTCAAAGAGGGTGTATTTTCTTTTTCACATGACTATAACTTTGGGGTTGTTTTTCTAAATAATTAAAGAAACTTTGAGAACCAGTCTGGTGTAGTGGTTAAAGCATCAGGCTAAAAACTAGGAGTCTGAATTCTAGTCTTGCCTTAGGCACAAAGTCACTTAAAGTCAGACCTTGGGCTAGTCACTTTCCCTTAGCCCTGGGAAGGAGGCAAACCATTTTTGAAAAACCTTTGCCAGGAAAACTGTAGGGATTTCTCCAGGCAGTCTCCAAGAATCAGATTCAGTTGAATGGAAGGAAAAAGAAAATGCAAAATGTACTTTTCACTTTTTTCTAACAGCTGTTATAAAATAAATTGTTTTGCTTTGAAAGTTTAAAGACAAAATAAAGCACTGATAATATAGTTGTCTCTCAACACACACACACACACACACACACTCATACACACATGTGTGCATGTACATTTCTTTCTCTCTTTTTTTTTTTTTGAAAATTTTATTTGGCTTTTCACAAAAACAAAATACAAATAATCTTTTTTGAAAATAGCATGGTCCCAGGTTATCACTTCTTCATACAGACACAAAACTCAATTTCATGCTCATTTTTATATTCTATTCCATATCTTATTACCATTTTATATTTTCTACATAGTTTTTCCCCCTCTTCTAATTTTCTCAACTTTGTTTTGATTATCTCAATTCAAATCATTATATTTATACTTTTGTCTGTCCTGTTACAATTTCACATTATCTTTTCTTATTAAACAAATTTTTCCTGTAGTTACCAATTAGAATATGACACCTTTATATCCTTTAATTTTATCCATTCAAGCTCTTATTTAAGCTTCAATGTATAGCTTTAAGATTATAGCATTCAATATAATACATAACTTCCAATCGAATTCTGCTTGGTACATTCTTAAAATAGACACTATATTCTTAAAAAGAAAAAATTATATATATGTGTAAATAAAACACATTCCATTCCAATACAATTCTATCATTAATATGCATTAAAATCTTAACATCTTTAACATTTCTTTTCAATTGAATATCATACTTCCTTGGGAACACTTATAAACTTTCCATAGTTAATTCTTTTTCCCCCCCATATTTCTCACTTATATTTTTATAAATCATTACTAATAATTAAAAATGTTCCCTTTTAATTCCCTCAATCATTTTAATTCATTTATTTATTAACAAACATCCCACTGCATTACAATAAATATTTTATCCATCATCATTTTTTCTAAAGTTATTTCTATTTGTAATATAACAAAGCTATCTTATGTACCTTTGCAGAATCCCTTTTACAATTAAATTTTCACCCATTATCTCTAAACAAACTTATGGTTACAATCCTTATATCTTTTCCCTGTTTCTCCATTTCTTGTTTCTGTCTTTTACAACTTCTTTTCCTTGCCTTCTTCCCCCTCTTCTTCTCCCTCCCCTTTTTACCCCGCGTCTCTCTACTTCTAACTCTCTCATCTGTAATCCCCTCTTCCGTTGCTTTCTAATATTATACTTATCTTTCAAATTGTTCTTCTTCTTTTTGGTTGTTTTTTCTAATCTTAAACCTTTCACTCTCTTTCCCCACTTTTCTTTTTCCCCCTCACTTAAAATTATTTGATCATTAAAGATGACTTCTTCTTTGTCCCAATCTTCTTGTTCTGCAAGCGTTTCTTGTTGCTTCTCATAGTTCCAGATCTCCATTTCTAAGCCATTTCTAAACACGAAGCCAAAAGAACTTCTCCCTTCTTGTGCATCTTCTTTCCATTTTTTAAAGTTCCATTTTCAGTTCTTCTAAGAGTGATACCATTTTAAAAACTTTTAAACAACCATCCAGTTAATTTTAGTCATCTAGATGCAAAAACCCAAAATCACCAAGTAATCTAAATAATCCAAGGTTGTTTCTACTTACTTCTTTTTTCCACTTTCTCTTCCTGGGGTTCTATTATTTTGTTACCAAGTTTCCATTAAAATGTATCTTTGAGGAATCTTGTTAAAATTTCACTGTAAGTTCCTTTTAATTACAGTTCCATTCCTTAATTCCAGGCAGTCTCCTCCATTTTTCCAGATCCTGCCCTTCTATTCTTTTTTTTTCTCCTTTCCAGCTTTTAAAAACTTTTAAATGTCCAGAAATCTTTATTTATCCCTTTGACTTTTATTTTCAGCTTAGATGCCTATTAATGTCAAAGTGGATTTTTTTTTCAGTTTCTTGCTTAAGTCTCTTAACTGTCAGTATAAGGAAGGGAAGAAAAAAAACCTATTCCTTTCCCTTCTCTCTCTCCTTCGCAGCTTCAAAATCTTCTTTGGGAACAATGTTGTTAAGTTTAAATTTCAGGGTACCTTATTTGTTGCTTTTGCTGTTTGACCCGGTCAACCAACACTTTCTCTTCTTATCTTCCTCCTGCACATTCTTTTCCGGTCGAGTTCTTTGTGGTGGCCATTTCTGACCACCGCTACAACCGCCTTTGGGAAAGGGAGTAATGGCCAGCTGGGGAGGAGAGATGCGGCTCTCCTCAACCCTGCAGGCAGTCTCCCCCTTCTTCACCACCTCTATGGGGTGGCTTAGCTGCAAAACCAGCCGGCTCGGGGCGCTCCAGTGGCGAGCACGGATCGAAGCCTCGGAGAGATGAGGTTTCGGTCTGTTGCCGAAGAAGCTCAAACCGGAAGTCCGCATGTACATTTCTTGGGGCTTAGCTATATAACAGGATTTTGAAAATATCATAGATTTTAAAACTGCAAGTATGAATTTCACTATGTGTATTTTCATACTTTATGCCCATGGCTTGGATATGCTGTAGTCCTATTGAACTAAGTGGAACAATATCACTTTCAATCCAGTTTATATCAGTGAAATTGATTCAAAGCTAAGCTATCCTTTTCAGTTAATAATTGGAGCGGGCTCTGAAGATCACAATCATACAACTGAGACTAGCTGATGTTAAATGGTACTAGGACCAAAATATACACCCATCTCTCATAACTGCACATCTTTTTATTCCCTGGGTTGAGATAGGGAAACAAAGCTAAACTATCTTTGTCTTTTATTAATGCTAATAAAAAGAAAAGCTTAATTTTGTCCCTACCATATTGATCAATCATGTCTGATGCTAGTAGTAGCAAAGGGAAATATTTTCTTAAGCAACATTGGCAAATGGTGAGCATAAAGCCTTCTCTACCTTACCAACTGGATCACAAGTGTTAAACTCATAGCATCACGTCATGTGATGTTTTGTGACATTTTTGCCATTTGCGGAGCTGGGGTTGATGCATGACGCATCCGGTCCGTGGGCCATCAGTTTGACAACCCTGATCTAGATGAAGTCAAGATTACAGAAGACACCCATTTTTATTCCTGGGGAAGTATGTGATGGGAAGAACAAATTTTAATCTCATTCAAACCAACAAGATTGGTATTACCTTAATGATACAGTAAGAATAATACCTGGAATCCTTAAATCCATACTGCTCTCATTGTTCCATATTCTTTTTAATATTGCCCTGATCTCATGTGACAACAACAGACAGTCCAAGAGTATATAAGATAAACATGCCATTGACTCCTAGAGATCTTCCATCATATAAAATATTAGACTCTACTTTTTACCAGGCTTAAGTCTAGGAAACCAATTTGGGGTAACATATCACAGTCTTACAATCTAGATGAAGAATGATGATTAAGATGAGCAACTTTTACTAACCACAATCAGACAAATCACATAGATCCTAAAAAACCACTTCAAGGAATGCAGTTGCCCCAAAATATGGAACTACCTGAATAGAATCAGGACAAGCCATGCCAGAACTAAGGAAAAGCTATTTAAGTGGGGAATGGCCAAAAGCCCACAATATGACTCTGGTGCTCCAGAATAAACTATAATACATATAGACACAAAAGCCTATAGTCTCAGGAAATTTCAAGGCACCTGGGATTATCCCATTGCAGCCATGCCAGAAGAAGTTAGATGGTTAGCTTTAGATATTGAATTCTAATATCCATCCCATTGCAATTCTATGACTCCATATTAAGTGATTTTTCTTCACAATTTTGGCATAAAAAATCATTCTGCTATGGCATTAAAGATTTTTCCCATTAATAACTATTATTAAAAGATCACTTGTGGGAGCAAGATGCCTCACCCCAAAGTAGAATTCTTCTTCATTAATAATTCCACTAAAACTCCTTTTTTACAACTCTTTAACTCCTTAATTAGGGTTACAGGCAGCATTAATATTTTTCACCTCAGAAATAAAACATTGGTTGGGGGGGATTACTCTATCCTCTCAATAAATATTCCTGAAGAAACTCATTGTTTTCCTAAAACATGTATACTTGATCATTGAAAGCAACTTTTCAACCTGGAAAAGTAGCTGAATCTCCCTGGCATATTCAGAACCTGGTTATGAGTTGCAGATTTTTCATTAATGGAATAAGTATGACTGACAGTATGAATTTCTGTATTTGTTTATATCTTTATTTATTTCTTTTTAACAAATAGATTGCAAAAAGCTATGAATAACAATGACTGATGCACAGTTATTTTCTTCCTGTTCCAAGGAAATCTCTAAAACTCCTGAAGGTATTTGTTTTATTTTTAACCTTATATAACTTGGCATTTTCTAAAACATATTCACTGTAAAAAGTTTCTTTTGATACATTTGTATACTCTCCATATTTTTCTTTCAGACTTGTCTTTCGAGAGCATTGTTTCTAATTCTGCTTTCCTGTTTATTGATTTTTTTCTATAATCTCTGCCTGGCAATAAAACAAACCCCACTAACTAAATGGATTCTTCCATACCAAACTGCAAAAATCAAGGAATCTTTCAGAAGGGAGAAATTAGAAATTATATTCTGTGAACAGATGTAGTCAATACATTGATCAGCAAATGAATGATATTGACATTGTTTGCATCATGCATGAACCTGGAAATTATAATTTTGTCTTATAATTAGTGACCAATTTTGGGATGAATATACTTAACTGGCATATATGATCATAGCCTTTCCAATCTGGTTATCCTTTGGATGTGTGGACTTCAATTCACATAATTCAGTAGTCAGTTTTATTCACTGCTAACTATTCCCTAACTCCACCCTCAAGTTGGGGAAGGCTAGTATTCATAGTATATGAATATGAACATTTAGATTGGAAACAGAAGTTAATAATAGCCTGAGATTGTGATTTTGATTAAAATGAAAAATGGGGAGGAAAGTTTTTATTGTCTTGTATGTAATGGCCTTAATTCAAATCCTAAACTTCTATTGCTTTTAGCTACAGAAGGTAGTTGCTTGGTAGAGAAATGAGCGGCATACGAATTTAATACATAAAATAAAAAAGCATTGGACTGTGGAATTAAACTTTTAAAATATATATAAAATAAATACTGTTAAGAGCTTATGGTTGAAATCCTTCATGGGGCAATTTCTATGAAATTAACCATTGGATAAATGGGGTTGTGTCTTTAAGGGAGAAAAACCTATATTGGCTGTATTCATACATATTAAGTAAAGTTAGTTTGTTAAACAATAGTAATAATAAACAGGTTTACACATAATGCTAAACCATAATGAGTGAGTTTGCACATCATTGAAACCAAAAAAAGTTATTGTAGTTTAGCATTATGAATGCAAGCAGAATCTGTAAATGTAGAGCCATCTAATTTGATCTGTAGATGTTACAAATGTATTCGATGGTGAACAATGTTTAAATATAATTATTCTGGGTTTTTTTTAGATATAAATGAAAATATTTCAGTAGGCATTCCCAACAAACAACGTAGTTGTGCTGCTGTAAATACTCCAGCTGCATGTGTTAATAAAGCGATTAATCTAATACAAGATTTAGAAGTGAAATTGGAAGAATCTTTTCTGCAGGTAATATTTATTTGTATTGTTGTATTTACTATATCCATTAAAACATTGACAGTGGATATCAGAATAGTTAGACTAAAAGATTTTTTTGCAGAGAAATAGGAAGAGGAAGGAGTATGTTTACCGCCTTGAATTATTTACCAAAATAATTAGGCATGATATAAATAAATGTATCAGAATATGGACATTTCAGGTTTTCCTGGAAATATTTCATGGCTACAACACTGTTTTCAAAGAGGCTCATTTCATCATCATTCTTTGCTGTCAATGAATCACTTAAAGGAGAATGTTCAAAAATAGCCTGACATATATACATGTCAGATATCATGGTCTCAAGCAAGGCTCTAAAGATAAATATTAATACTTCATAAATTATATGGTCACATAGACTCTATATTGGGGCCTCAACGGGGGTGTGGCATTTTGGAGGTGGCCAATGGAGTGGATAACACCCCCTGTGCTCACTTTTCTCCCACCCTCTCCATCTGGGTCAGTTTTATTTAATTTTTTTCAATAAATCTTGTTAGGGAAGGCTATGAGAATCTTTATTTTAGTCGACTTGGCTACTAAGAGCTTGTTAAAATAACTATGAAAAAAATTTCTCCAATAGAGTATCCTGCAGATATGTCATAATATACATCATATACAGCCATGTCTTAAAGGCTTTTCAGATGGCCATAAGACTGGGTGTGGATCCCATCTCAAGGGTGGGGGGAGTATGGTGTTCCAGTGGATGGGAGCCACATCAGCAGAGCAATTTTGGTTAAAAGAAAATAATGTTTTAGAAGTAGCTGGGGAATAATAAAGGAGGAGCCTCCAACACAGTAAATAGACGTTATGTATAAAACAATGAAACAGTTTGGTAGGACATTAAGTAAAGGAATGATTAGGAAGTATTTAAGGAATGAACATGCCATGTCAAACAGTAGAAGTGAAAGGAATGTTATAAATGTTAATGCAGTGGTGGGATTCAAAAACTGTTTTTGGGAGCTTCCTAGCCTCAGAGGAGCCTCGGGGGGGGGGGGTTTTTGCCCCCCTAAGGCTCTTCTGGGGCTCTGGAAGGCAAAAAATGGGGGGGGGGGGGCTGAGCTCCTCCCTCCATTTTTTGCCTTCCTGGGCCTCAGCAAGGGGAATCCCGGCACAGCTGATCGTATCTACAGCTGATTGTCGGGAGGGAAAAAAAGAAATACCTTAGGTGATTGTCAGGCACGCGGGCAGGGTGAGCAAGCATCAGGTGGGAGGGCGACCGGGTGGGGGGCATGGCCAGCCAGAACTTTCTACAGGTTCGGCGACCCACACCAAATTCTTGCTACCAGTTCGTCCGATCTGGTGCGAACCGGCTGAATACCACCACTGTGTTAAAGTCTAAGAAAAAGATCAACATAAATGAACTCATGAAAAATGACAAGGTGCAAATGACATAAGTGGAGAAGTTTTAAAATAGGGACATGCTTTACTTATGAAATAGCTGTGTAAATTTTTTAACATGTGTAAAGCACTTTTTAAATGTAAAGCTCAAAAGAATACTGTTATTGTTCCCCTTTGTAAAGTAAAAGAGTAAATGCAAATATAATGGAGAGATTTGGCTATAGTAAATCTGCATAAGATTAGTCCATAATGGGTGGTCGTATAGCAGTATTCTTTTTGAAATAATATGATGTGACCGAACAAATTTAAACATGGAGTTGCTGATAAAAAGGTAATGGGTTGTATATGTTATGAGAAAAGTATGTTTCTGAAAAAAAGCAAAACTGCTCTCTATAACAATGACAGGATAAACTGAATGAATGATTGTAAGTTATACATTATGAAGAATTAGATTTAGTAAGTGAAATTGTATACCTTTTGTAGAATTTATATTAAAAATGGGAAATGAAAAATTTTAGGATGTGCAAATGCAAGTAAGAAAACAATGAGTAGACCGTGCTCTGATATAAAAACTGTAGGTTTGTCAAAAGAAGTGAAAATATCTTCTCATAAGAACATGTGCCTTTATAATATGAAAATGAGAGTCAGATATATGAAGAAAAGTTTAAAAATAAAGTTCAGTGGGAATGAGAATTTTAAGAAGTGTTTGTGATAAACAGACAAGGTAAAGACTGTTGCAAATGAAATGAATGCATGAATGCAAATGTGAGTGATAGTACAAAAGAAATACATTTTTTAGATTTTTTAAAATCCCATCTTTATTACTTTTAAGTGGCAAACATACCTAATACTATTTCTGTTTTTCCCAAAACAACAATCCTGAGATATGAATTGGCTTGAGAAAGAATGACTAACCCAAAGTCACCCAGCCAGCTTTCATGCCTAAGGCTCACCATTTCCTTGTTTTTAACCTGGTGCCTAAACCACAATTTGATCATAGAAATGATGAATTAAGTTTGCATTGCAAAATAAATATGTGAAAGGAGCTTGGAAGGTCAACTTTTTTTCCCCTGTTCCCTTAATTTCTGTCATTATTTTTACAAGTACTTATTTTTTTTCTTGCACTTTGCATAATGTTGCTACTCTGGAAAGGAAAAATATGACAGTTATGTATGTATGCAGGAAAATCTAAAATCTAAAAAATGAAATGTTTCAATTAAAATCTGATTTATGTTCACAGCATGAAATTTTATATAACTTGAAAAAACTTCCATGGTAAGAAAATTATATGTTTTGATTCAATAATTATTATAAAAACTCTTCTAACCAAAATATAAAGAGAAATACTGCCAATTACCATTCTGTTGATTTAAACTTAAAATGCTATGGTATTACCCCCAAAATTGGGCCAAGTCAGGATCTGATATTTAGGACAAAAAAATAACCTTGTTCTAATATTGATTTCAATAAAAATTTAATTCATTTCATTATATATGCTATAATACTATTACTAGTTTTTGTGTGCAGGTAGTCCTCAAGTTGTCCATTCAAAGTTACATGGTCTTTGAAAAGGTGCTTGGGTGCTTCACAGCCCGTAAAGAACTTCCAGCCATTGTAAAATGTTGTAGCTCCCCCTTCCCCCATGGTCATAATATGACTACATTTCAGGCACTTGGCAGCTGATTCACATTTATGACCAATTGCCAAATACCCTGCAATTATGTCATTGCTATTTGCAATCTTCTCTGCTTACTTCCTCAGAAAGTAGTGGGGAAGATGGCAAGACAGAGAAGAGCTGAAATCCTTCAGCAGGCTTCAGGAACAGAGTTGAAATCTTTAGAATTTCATATCTTTTTCTGTAACCCACAGATATTTATTTAGTGATCAAAATTTAGAGAGTGACATGCATGGACGGGAGCTTTTTCTTCAGGATTTCAGCTCCATTCCTGCAGCCCATCAAAGATTCCAGAAATCCTGAAGATTTCAGAGCCTTTCATGTAGCCCACTGAAGGATTTTCCCACCCTGCACAGCTCCCTTGGTGTTCTGAAGAATGGAAAATAAATCCTGAAGATTTTAGGTCCATTCTTGCAGCTCACCAAAGGATTTCATCTCTCTGCACTGAGGGAAACTGAATCCTTCAGCTAGTTGCAGGGACATTTTGAGCAAAATGTCTGCTTGCCAGGAAGATTTTTGCATGACAAAACCCTATGGCAGGCACTGTCCACTTAAAAGCCCAGGAGATAATTTAACAACTGCCACAGAGATTTCCAAGATTCCAGTCATGTGAAGCTTAATGGATTACTTGCTTAATGATTGAGATTCTGATCTCAATTATAGTTGTAAGTTGAGGACTACCTGTGTGTAATAATTTTCTCTTTCTAGCACACTGAGAATTAACAGAATAACAGAGTTGAAAGGGACCTTGGAAGTCTTCTAGTCCAAGCCTCTACTCAGGCAGGAAATCCTATATCAGGGGTGTCAAATTCAAGGCCCGTGGGCCGGATCCAGCCCATGATGTGGTCAGATCTGACCTGCAGGGCTGTCCTTATCTACCCAATGCGAACAGGAAAGATCAGGTCAGAGTGGATTCAGCCCGGTCTACCCAATGTGAAGACAAAAGATTGGGCCAGCGTGGTTTCTGCCTGGTCTACCCAATGTGAAGATGAAAGATCAGGCCAGTGTGGTTTCAGCCCGGTCTAGCCAGTGTGAAGAGGAAAGATTGGGCCAGCATGGCTTTGGCCTTGTCTACCCAATGTGAAGAAGAAAGATCAGGCCAGTGTGGCTTTGGCCCGGTCTACCCAGTGCAAAGAGGAAACATGCCAGCAGTTTGGGGAGTGGCATCAAGCTGGTCATGCCCACCCAGTAGGCCATACCTACCCAGTCGGACATGCCCCCACAGTGCCCCCGAGGTCAACCACAGCCTTGATGTGTCCCTCAATGAAATTGAGTTTGACACCCCTACCCTATATCATTTCAGACAAATGGTTGTCCAATTTTTTGTTTAAAACCTCCAGTGTCAAGCACCTACAACTTCTGGAGGCAAGTCATTACACTGATTAATTGTTCTAACTGTCAGGAAATTTCTCCTTAGTTCTAGGTTGCTTCTTTCCTTGATTAGTTTCCATCCATTGCTTCTTGTCCTGCCTTTAGATGCTTTGGAGAATAGGCCGATCCCCTCTTCTTTGTAGTAGCCCCTTAGATATTGGAACACTGCTATCGTGTCACCCTTAGTCCTTCTTTTCATTTAAACTAGGCATACCCAATTCCTGCAATTGCTCTTTGGGGCTGAGACTTCAGGATCTTTATTCACTGTTAAGCATGCCATCTATTACATGTTTTACATTAAAATAAGCAAAAAAGTATGAGTATTGGCCATTACTTCTTTGGATTGCGATCAAAATGGAGAGTTAGGAAGCTAAATCAATAGCATTTTGAAAGTGATGGAGAGAGAAAATATAGTGGTAACACACAGTGTAGGAAAGAAGATCCAAGACTATAATGCTGACCTATATTTCCAGGGATTTGGATGCTAGAACTGTTAAAGAGACTGAAGAGATCTGTTTATCATTCTCTACTGAAGGGAAGGCTGAACAGTCATTGCACTGGAAAGGTAATATTGATTAAGTATTTAATTGCTTTCTCTTAATATTAATGATGTTTAATTGTAATTATTTCCAGAGAACCATGAAATAATGGGAATGTTTGAGAGCTGCAGTATAATTCAGTTTACAATTTAGATTTTAAAATATTGAAACACTTCCAATAAAATAGTGAAAAAGAAAATAATTCTATGCTGTGTTGAGTCCTTAATGTCCCATCTATCAAGGAGGCAAAGAAAATTGCAGGGAGAGAAATAATCATGTTCTTATCATGCAGGGAGAGAAGGAATCATGTTCTTATCATGTCCAGTGAAAGTGGAAGTTGAAATCATTACTTTAGATTCAGGTCTATGTATCTATAGTGCTTCAAAAAGTGAAATCTCACTGCTTACCACCACTGTCATTTGCCAGAAAAGATCGTTTTTGTCTTCTGAGAGCAAAAAACCTATACCAGATAATATACTCGAACATAATGTTCTTTCATCCCTAAATAAAATCTTAAAGACAATGTTTTACACATTTTTCTATACTTTATTTTGCATATTTTCAGCAGCATTTTAGAAATGATAACATCCTGTTATCTTGTCCAGTCTTTTTGAAATGATTTAGATAAAAATAAATAGTTTTTAAAAACAATATGTTAAAGCTTGAAATTCTTAAATTAATGTTAAAAATGCTTTTTAGATCTTTTTTAATTCTAAATAAATTTTTGAATGAACTCTTAAACATTGAATTGAAGATTTACTCCTTTAAGATAGAGATAGCTCACATAAGAATGATTGACTCGTTGATGAGTTCTCCTTTTTTTGAATTGGAATTAGCAACACCTATCTGAATTCAAGACATCTGGAGACAGGCAGCATTTTTCTTAAGAGAAGGGAAATCTATGTGAAACATTTCTGGAATTACTGAAATATACCTTCATCCCACTCCCATAGTTTCATATTTAATTGCATTATGTATTTCATTAAACCTGTCCAAGTGAACGGGACATTTCACTATTCTTTATCAATCAGACTGGCTGAAAGAAAGCTGCCAAGCCCTTTCATTCAAATTATATGATGTTAGAAGTGAGCAATGTTCTCATTTGAGCTCATGTTAGTGAAGATCCTAATCACAGCAATGTTTTGCTTTTATTCAGATTAGACTACTGCTAGTGGCAATTATATTAATTCTGAATATGCAAAAGTTTTGTTATTTTAAGATGTTATTGCACATATTACTTCAGTAGTAGGATAGCACATAAAAATCTAAATTGCATATACAGTTTGTATAGAAGTCTGAAACTTTGTGGATTAGTTTTTTAGAACTGTGTACTATAGGGTAACATTAAAATGAGACTTAAATTATACATTTTGGCAAAATGTGCTGTTACATTCAATAACACTACTTGTTTTTAATTGAAGATATTCAGTCTTTAAAGCAGAAAACTTCTACTGTTGTAGCAGAAGTCATCGAATTAATTTCACGATTAGAAAATGAGCGTAAAGATGCTGAAGAAGCCTTAGAGTGTGAGAAGCAACATAGGAAAAAACTATACCTAAATTCAGATAAACTGTCATTTTGGAGATTACAACAGCTTCCCAAAGCTGTTCAAAAAGGTAAAAGAAATAGCCATGTTTTTTAAAAAAAGTATTTATTTGTGTGCCACCTTAAAACATCTGGAGAAAAAAGATATGAAATTGCTATTCTCTTTTTGGGAAGCATTCAAAATAACTGTGATGAAATAATAGTCCAAGAAGAGTGGAAAATTATTTTAGCCACTGAATTTTAAAAAATCCAATTATCCTATCCAAAAGATCAAAATCCAGTATACTGCTATTATTTGAATTTTATGTTTTATTAAAATGTGAGCATGGATATTCATCAGGAAGATTTTGTCAATATTCCCTGGTAAATTTGCTTACAGCTTTACAATCAGCATCCTGATAACATTCTGTTTTATTGCAGATGCTTTATTACTAAGTAGTGCTAGATCATCATCAGGTCTACCACTGATGTTATTACCTAGTTTGGTAATGAAACATCTGCAAAAACAAAACAAAACCCCAGTATCAAGAGAGTACCAAAGACCTCACAGTTCAGCCCTGAGCTACAAATAATTTCTTCTGTTGATACTGATAGTATTTTGTACATTATACTGTCAATATTATAATCTCCAAAAAAACTTTAAGGAATATATTTATGTATAAATATGATCACATATAGTATGAAAATGTATATAAGGCTTTGTAGATTTCTTTCCAAGCACTGAGCAAATCTGAAGCAATTCTTGGAAATGTGTATATTCTGACCTCAGAAAATATGGGAGCCCACTGCCCAGTTATACACTCTGCTTCTGCTAGATCGGTATGCTGAAGTCCCTAAATAAAAAAAGTGTAATTTTAAAAAATATTACTGCAAATTCACTTAATCTTATCAATGATCTCTCTGAGGTAGTTTGCTAGCATGCATAGTCCCTTGAGCCTCTCATAGATGATTTCATGATTAAAGATATCTCTTTTACTCTTTTGAATTTTATTATTATGTAGTAGAATTTTGAAAATACTTAATGAAATAAATTTAATTACCATTAAAATATATTATAATGCCCAAATTTTAATTATGGTAAAATTGCATAAGTGAGTATTAAATTTATATGAACATGGTACTAAAGTGACACTTTTGTGCAAACTATTTTTTCAAAGTGCTGGTTCCTATTTTTGCTTCCAAGGAAATTTGAGATGTACACAGTACTTTCCTTTCTGATCATCAACATTAATTATCATTACTTCATCTACTTCCTTGCTGTTTGTTCAGAAATTCTCTTTTGTTTAAATATCATATTTAGCAACAATATTCTTTATAGTCTATTTGATAAGAGTGTATTAATATTCCTCTTGTCAAGTTCATTACAAGTCACAAGCAGTGAATGGTTATATTGTGAACAACTGTGCACATTCCCATCTTTAATTAATATGACATTTTGCTTCAGTTAGGACTATAGGGGCCATTGACATTTTCTTGTGATTAGTTGGAAGGTTGATCTTAGAGAAAGCACACAAAGTAAACAAAACTCTAATGTTGTTTATTTTATTAATTGTATTAAATATTAATTCAATATAAAGCATATTTTTACTTATTTATTTTTAACATTCCTAATTCTATTGTAACAGACTCTGCATAGATAACACAATAAACACATAATTCAAAACTAAGATCTGAATCCTCACTTTAAAAGTTTCAGATCACCTGTATCCTTTGGAATCGTCTATAGTTGATTTGCCATCACTTTTTCAATAACCTTCTCCCAAGAAAAAGAGATTGGAAATTTGTCAAAAAGTATTGAGCATGGCTAGGTCAAAGTAAGACTTCTTCACTATCTCACCAGGAGAATGTACAAAATTTTATATCTGAAAAAAGTTAACTAATTGAAACAAAAAAAAAATCAGATCTTTAGCTTCTTATTTATTTGTACTGCTGAAAAAAATGTACCATAGACTACTTGACAATGTGGACATTAATTTTCTTTAGAAAATGCAATTACAGCATTGTTTTATAGATGGATAATATAAAATTATCATTTGAAGAGAAATGTACATATATTTTGGAATTAGCAGCTTGTTACATATTTAAATTTAAAAGTAATAGTTATCATTTTCTTATAAGCAATAGTTTCTTTTATATTTTGCAGAATGGGAGAAATGTTTGCAAGATATAATAGAATTACAGTGGCATTTTGAAGAAAAAAATGAGCAATTACAGGATGCCCAAAATCAACTGACAAAAATAGAGGGAGCCAATTCAGTGATCCAGAAGCAGATAAACTTTATGAAGAAATACAGCCCTCTGCTGGAAGAAAAGCTATGTCATGAAGATGATTCAATGAAAGAAGTAAAAATATTATTTGAGGAGGTAATTGAGGGATTCAATATTTTAATTATATTTTATTTTTGGTTTATTGCATATGCATTTAAAATTTCTGTGTCCAATAATAATGCTAAACATCTAAATGTGAAGATATGTGAAAAAATTGTGCAGTGCAGTGCCATTTCTTTCCTTTTGAAAATGAAAAAAAAAATTCTTATGAAATCAAAATGCAATTTTATTAGAGCAGTGTACAGGTTTGATATGTTCAATGTATCAATATGGGATTAAATATTAAAATAGAAGTATAATAGTATTGATTATATCCAATCATGATTTTCTTATAAAAAATAAATCCGTATAAAAATCAAAATGTTTCCTGTAGGTTTTACACCTTGATTCTTATCAAGTTTTGACTTTGATATATAATGTCTTATAGAAATTGGAGTCTTTGTTTTGCACATGAAATCGTGGTTGTAATTTCTTTTTCAATTAATAGAGTTGTTTTGTTATTTTCTGGTTTTAATTTTCTTTCTGCTGCCCAGAATCATAGTGATGAGATGGGCAACTACAGCAAAGCAAACAAAAAATGCAAATAATGATTTAATAAAGGTGAGCTTCATTATTAGATTTTCATAGCTAGACTGGGAACCTGGTTGTATTAAACCTAAAGGTTGAGGTGCAGTCTGGAATCTGCACCCATGGAATTCTTGAGTTTCTGAATCTTGGATAAATTCTAGAACAAAATGTTGCTTTGATTCTATTGTTAGTAGATCCATCTTATTTTTTTAAAAAAACTTACTATTATGAAATGGCTCCACCCAAAGCAAAATAAAACAATTTAGGACTATGTCTTCTAACATTGGATGAGATTTACCTAATTTGGATAGTAAATACTAATTGGATTATCATTTGAATAAGATTGTATTAATGCTTTACTCACATACATCCATGCACAAATATTCTCCCACTCTCTCTCTCCCTCCCTCCCCCTCTCTCATGCACACACACACACACACACACACACACACACACAGCTGAAATTTATAAACCCTTCTCTACTCGTTGCAGAATACCTTATGCCACCAGACTCGAAATTCTAGACCTAGAAAACCTACAACTACACCGCTTTCGGTCTGATCTAAATATAGTATATAAAATCATACATTGCAATGTCCTACCTGTCAATGAATACTTCAGCTTCAACCATAACAACACAAGAGCAAACAATAGATACAAACTCAAGGTTAATCGCACCAAACTCGATTGCAGGAAATACGACTTCAGCAACAGAGTGGTCAATGTCTGGAATACTCTACCTGACTCTGTGGTTTCTTCCCCGAACCCCCAAAACTTTAACCTTAAGACTGTCTACTATTGATCTCACCCCTTTCCTAAGAGGTCTGTAGGGGGCGTGCATAAGCGCACCAACGTGCCTACCATCCCTGTCCTGTTGTTTCTTTTATTTTTTTATTTTTCTTATATGTATCCATGTATTAATAACTATGTGTTTACTTATACCTATTGACAAAAAGAAATAAAATAAATAAAATAAAACATGTAATCTACATAAATATCCATATTTAATATCCACATTTAATGTATGAGAAAAATAAATAGCAAAGATTAAATAGGCAAATAAATAAGAAAAAGTAGAAAATGTCTAAGATTCTGAGCACTCATATCTGTAAGAGGAAAAAAGAAACTGATGTAATAATACCATGAGTGTCTATGAAGAAATTAAAGGG